ATTTCAATAATGTGGAATTAGTAAATATTAGCAAATACTAAGCACTTCATATACATTGGTGTACGGGTCAATTACAACAAATTTAGTATAGGAGATAAGGAACTTGAACATAGAATAAGCTGTGCTAGGAGTAGTTTTGCTCAACACCACAAGTTGTTACAAAACCAAAACATTAATCTTAAATAGACTCGTCGGATCGAAACTTTCATATGGATGTCATGCATGGCAACAAGATCGTTCAGAAATATCTAAACTCTCAGCTCTATACAACAGATCAATGATTAAAAATGACATCGAACGAATGGAGCCTGTAGGTCTTAGCAAGGACCATACTTCTTAGAACCTTGTTTTGCGCGACAGAATCACAAATCACAAGCAAATAACTGTACCAAATATCAGAAAAAACGCATCACTTGAGTACTTTCAAAAGCAACAACAATTAAAATGGATAGCACATGTAAGTACCACGCAATGAAATGAAAATAATAACATAATGAAGTTGTTGACCTTTCACACTAATTCAAATAAAAGATTAAGAAGGAAGCCACCATCATTACTAGAAAAAAGCGCTAACAGTTAGTGGATTTGATAAAGCTATTCTCCTGAAAAATTATTTTAAGAGAAAGATTTTATAAATTTCAACTGCTCGGTCAATAAAAGAAACGTCTAATATTACCATCAACAAATTAGTAAAATTGCTAGAATTCTTGAATACGGTATAAAACAACGGATTTAGTAACTTTTTGTCTAATTTTACGTTTTCCCCCTTTTTTTAAATTGTTTAAGACATACTGGCGTTAGTAGTGGAGTTTCTTAAATTTTAGTCAAATCTGAGTGCGGTTGCTTATAAACAAGACATTTATGAATAAATTGTGTAAGGGAACCATAACTGAAATCGCCATTTTTAGTTGTAAAATGAAATATCTAGTAGTGTAGTAGGTTACTAGATAAACAAGCTATTCACTCAGACTATTGCTACAATAACAGGTAAATCATAACTGGGTACACTGCAATTGTGGCCCTATACCAGACTAAGCTTGCTTCAGTAAACCGACGAATTTAACACTTCTGTAGTTGAGTGTTAAATACTTGATTAGGGGCCGGCATTTTAATCCACTGGCTCGATCTTGACCCCACTATATCTATAACAGCATGAGAAGTTATAGGTTGCCAAGTTTTCCTGGATCATTTACGTATGTTTTGCCTCGGGAAATTCCCCGGGTTTCACCGCTGCCACGGCTGCGGCGAACCCAGTGAAGCATGTGAGTGCACGCGAGGTAGAACAAGTACGCATGCGTAAAGCAGCCTGCATGCGTAGACGGTGTCAGTTGGGTCAGCAACACAGTGCCGTTTTTTTTTTTTTCCGATTCGGCTAGACGGCACGTGCCGGCGTGCGTGAGAATGACACCCAGCGAGCTAATATGAAGTGCTCGTGTAATACAATAAGCGTGTAGATATTAAGTAGCTCCTTCCTCGGTTAATGCAACTTGAAAATTTCGTGGGTGAGACACGATTACAATTTTACCCCGCAGTCATTGACCCTGAGTTGCAATCATAAAATATACGAATTGATGTATGCGCATGTTATTTTAAATTGAAACATGCAAGCATTTCTATATACTATATACGTTGTTTTTTTGGGTTTTTTTTTTTGTTTTTTTTTTTTACGCATTGTCGACATGGGTGAAATTTATGCGTATTTATAACTTCTTTTCCCGTAAGGAGCGCTCAAGTAGTAATAAGTTGTATTCAGTCTTTGACTGGAGCAAGCAGATCTAATGTCAGTGGATCTATGTCTTACTCGCTTCTCCCTGTCTCCTTTCTATCTATCTAATTTTCATCTTTTTCTCTCCCTCATATATATATATATATATATATATATATATGTATATATATATATATATAAATAAAAAGAAAGAACAGTAAGATATATAATCCGGTGTTCTTATAGATATTTCCATTTTTACAAAATAGTGCTCAATGTAAATTTACAGAGCATTAATATTATAAATTACTTCATTTAAAATATGGTTTTTTCGCTATACAGTTCTAACCATGTTTCAAAAATGGAAGCTGAAAGCTCTGAATTTAACTTTGTAATTAAATTAAAGACATTAGTTCCATCTCATCCTCAAGCGATCGCTTGAGGATGAAATGGAACTAACGTCTTTAATTAGTCAAAATTATACGCCATTTGCAATAGGACAATCAAAATTCTTGAAAATGTTTAATAAATTTGCCCCCGGATCGCTTGAGGATGAAATGGAACTAATGTCTTTAATTTAATTACAAAGTTAAATTCGACTTTCAGCTTCCATTTTTGAAACATGGTTAGAACTGCGTAGCGAAAAAAATATTTTAAATCAATTAATTTATAATATATATATATATATATATATATATATATATATATATATATATATGTGTGTGTGTGTGTGTGTGTGTGTGTGCATAAGTTTATACCAGTACGTACCTGATTGTTCGAATTAAAAACGGAACTACATGGCAGCCTATACGCTATTTGCAATAGGACAATCAAAATTCTTGAAAATGTTTAATAAATTTGCCCCCGGAACCATGAAATATTTGAACAATTTCGATATACACTATGTTCAAAAGTGAAATCTTTTGTTCGAACACAAGGAAAACGCAAAAAAAAAAAAAAAAATGAATATAAGTACCTTGTTAGTCATTTTCACTGAAACTTATTAGAGACTGTAATGTAAATACGCAACTATGTGTGTAGGAGGATATGATCAGGGCCATTGAAAGGGTCTCGTGACCCCCAATATATGATACGGCCCTCTACTTTACTACATTTCAATTTTAAGGTAGTATTCATATAAATAGAAATTTTATTGTAACCTAATTATTTGCAATAATGGATTATATGTAATATAGGTGAACAATTCAACTAGAAAGACTGAAAATAAGTACAATGCCATGAAAACATTTATAGAAAAGACAAAGTGAAGCTACGTCATGGCGGTGGGGAAGTTACTGAAGTCGAGATGCCAGGTAAAGAACGATAATATTACAGACCTTTCTTTGGATTTTGAGATATATATATATCTCAAGATACATAGCACGAGCCCCAGATCAGATATGGCAGCAATATTCAATGCACGGAGGAGTGGTAGATTTATAAATTTGCAAGATGGATACTGATGAAAAAAATTTCTAGCACGGCACAATGAACCAACTTTCCTAGCCAACCTAGGAAATGATTCAATATAATCACTCCCCTTTATGCAAGTGAAAAAACGAGAAGCCAAAAAGGAGCAAGGAATTCTTTTCCTGGAGGTCAGCCATGCTAGTGAAAGGCAGAAATGGATCTCTGTGATGATTACAAGATAGCAGTTTCGTTTTCGAGGAGTTAAAATGTACAAGCCATTGCTTACCCCACATTACCCCGACTGATTGGAAGTCGTTTTCAAGAGCAGCTGACAGTTTTACTTTGTCGAATATATCGGAATCGCTATTAAGACAACAGTGAATAGTTGTTTCATCAGCATAAATACCTAGTTTGGATCTAATTACATTGGGAAGTTCGTTGATTATGATCAGAAACAGCGTAAGTCAGACGTAGAACCCTAGGAGACACCTGCATTAACAAGAAATGAACTAGAAGCGTATCACTTTAACATGATCTTCATTACACAATTTGTTAGGAACGATTGGATTTGACCAAATATTCATCCAGAGACACCATAGACCTTGGGCTTTTAGAGAAGTTCAACATGCGAAACCCTGTCGAACATCTTTGAGATATTTAGGACCACAACCGAGCTTCGCTGTGCTTATGTAAAGCTTGACAAATTCAGTGATGGCGGTTAACATATCGGCAGTAGACATGGAGAAACGGAAGCCATATTGTTTATCCGAATAGAGGTTGTGCGAAATAAGATGCGAGGATAGAGCCCAGGTGGACTTCGGCATTAATGTGAACTGATTCTTCTAAATTAGTGGCTGTCCAAATGATCTTCATTACTTCATTTGTTAAGAATGATTAGACTAAGATAAATATTCGGCTATAGACACCATAGTACTTGAACTTAAAGTTTTGTAAGAAAGAAACTAAAAACCTTATCCAAGACTCTGGGACCCCTTACAGCTCACATCTTTATTTGGATTTCCAGTCTTTGCAAAATAGTCATAAAATCTCTTGAGAATTATCGGCTGCCTACATGTATTCAATTGAAAACTATAATTATTGTGAGCCACTTAATTAACTTTAGCGACTTTGCTTGTATTAGCAAAAGGATTTTGGCTCGAAAATATTATTGATTCACTGCCATGTTAATTAAGGAAACTCGGCCGTGAATTATTCCCTCATTAGCACATGATCAAAGTGTTTTTGTGTACAACAGGAAAGGTTGATCTTTTGAATGTCCCAATCAAAAAGGATGTTAACTAGCAGAAATATCTTAGCAAGTAGCTCGCGCGATGTTATACGCCATATAAAAAGTGTTCTTAATTATTTATTTGTGTAATTTCGCTTTTAAAATTAACATATTTTTTTTTACTTCTTTCAAAATCAGCACGGTTTATCATTTTTAAATAGGTAATTTTCTTAATATCTCAGCATAATAAAAATATATTGACAGCATTTTACGCCAGGAATTATCCAAAATCTATCCTGGCAACCTGTGCTTATCTATATATGAGAGCTTGTTTATTTCTTTCTTTCTATCTATCCATCTATGACAGCCTGTTCTTGTCTATCCATCTATCTATGACAGCCTGTTCTTTGCTATCTTTCTATGACAACATGTTCTTTTCTATCTGTCTGTCCGTCTATCTATCTATCTATCTATCTATCAAGGACATTCTATATTTTTCTATGTATCTATGACATCATTTTTTCTATATATATATCTATCTATGACCACCTTTTCTTATCTATCTATTTATCTATCTAGGATATTCTATATTATTCTATGGCTCTATGACATGTTTTTTCTATCTATTTATCTATCTATGACCGCACGTTCTTATCTATGACCACCTTTTTCTTATCTATCTATCTATCTATCTATCTATCTATCATTGCTTGTTTACGTCTATACTCGTTATTATAATTTATTAGATGACGTACTGTTGTTATTTATTTTTTAACTGTTTCGAACTGCTCCGGTTCGAAGCTTTGACTTGGATTTAAGCAAACAAGCGACAAGCCAATACGTCAGCTGACTGTTGTTGAAATACTTTGATTAAATTAGCTTTGAAATATTAATTTAGTTTCTTTTTTATATTTCGTAATTATTTGAATGAGTCACTTATATTTCTTTTTAAAATAATATTGATCTGTATAGCTCATTTTTTTTAAAACACAGCAACAAATTTTTAACGTTCACTCTGAATTCTTATTACATTTTAATAATGCAGTCATTGCTTTAAAGTTTAAAATCTATCGCCGCTTTGATTTCTTGTCTTAATTTTCACATTGCGGTTTTTTGCATATATATTACAGCGATTTCTTCACGTAAATATAACATTTTCCTAACGTTTTTTTTAATTATTTTTTTAATTGACAGTCGTAGAGTTAATATTCTTTGAAATTTTATTACATAACATGATTAACGATTAGTTGCATTTTTCACTGATATGCATTTGTTTATTTTAAAAAATAATGTTGGTGTGTTATACTCTTCAAACCTACTGAATTTTTATGAGCATGGAAGATTTGAATGAGAGAAGACATCGATAGGCATGGGAAAGTGGCAAAATGATCAAACACAATTTTAATTCAGACCGTTTTCAAACAGAGAAATTCAAATGAACCACAGATAAATAATCCCATAATATCTGGAGGGTAAGACGTTAATAAAAAGAAATATCCCTAACCATAGAATCAAAAACGTTCAAAACTAAAGAAAAAAAATTACACTTGGCAGTCGCATGCCCGTGAAATCATTCTCAAGTATAATGGAAACGATGCATGTCTACATAACCCAGGATCCTAAAAATGGCCTGAAGCGTGATTGAAAGCGCTCGATCATAAACATTTGGAGAATATCTACACTCATTAGGTTCAAACATACGCTCCTTTTTACTAAAAGCCTTTTAAATAGGTTTCTTAGGTTAAAGGGAATGCAGTTTCAGGTGACACCTTTTCCTTTTTTTTTTATAAGACTTTTGATTCCTAGGCCAGTAGAAATTAATTTCACTGTTTACAAAAAAAGGATGTCTACTAAAACACATGTAGCTACTAAATATAACCTTTATAGTAATAAAATAAGTTAACCAAAATAATCTTTGCCCATGGTTTTTCACGAAGGGTATATCAATGCTGGTTAAATACACACACGCGCATGTATATGCGTGTATGTGTGCGTATGCGTGTGTGTGTCTGTTCTTGTACATGAGTTTGTGCTGTTGGCTTCTGGTTGAAAAAATATTTAGATCATATAGTCTAGAATAATGTTAGCATCTGCATACATTTGATGAGATTTTCGAATTTGCTTTCACTTCTAATTCACAAAACCGCCCTGTACAGACATTTCATTCACAAACAAGCGTGTTTTTACTAGTTTTTAATGGTCTTACAACTGTTAATACCGTGAGAAGTATTTTCTAATTGAATATAATGAAAGAAATGCTTGTTAATTCAACTAGAGTCAAAATCAATCTAAACTTCATTTCATTTTTATCTGAAAAATAGGCAAATAAAACATTATCTTAAAGTAGGAATTCTACACAATAGAAACAAAGCAATCAAAAATACAATCAAAATATGATTAAAACAACTTACGTTTTTATGAGCTCGCCATGTTTCTTAAAAGAATAACAAAGTTTATTTTCTAAATCGGCATATACTAAATCTTGCTTTTCCCATAATTTGTGCGGCTTTTCCTGTCCGCCATTTAAAATTTAAACTGAAATAAATAAATAAATAAAATGAAATACAATTTTTTTTAACATAGTCCCTATAGCAGTCTGTGTAGTTTTCTCTACAAATCAAAGAATAGCATGTCTTTTCAATAATCTAACACGCTCCTCAGTGTAATATAATAAAAACAGTTTATCGAACAGTCAGTAATAATCTTCTTCGTGACAGCAGGTAGAAGCCCAACTTAGTATTCAGTTCTTATGGAGGGTTCTCGATTCTTTAGCAGGTGTATAATAGCGATAAAATGAGAAGTGAAAGTACGAATGTGACTTCATTCCTTATTTCAAATAGTCTGACTATGCCCGTCCGCCTGGAAATACGTATTTTTAAATCCACTTTAATTTAATTTTCTTCAGCTTAGTTACTTGATGGCAGCTATGGCTAGCCGGTCAATTGATACATGTTTTTATAGTGAAAGTTCTGTAATCTTAAGATATACTTAAAGCTTATGACCAGATCATAATCTTCGCTCTCATTCGTCCATTTTGACGTGTCATCTTAAATACAGCGCAATTCACCTATTTTACTGAATAATATTACACTCAGTATTATAGGTCATTTGAATAATTCTCCTATTTCTTCACATTTTTTCAAAACTTTTCTGTGTACGCTAGTAATGATAATAAGTATTGCCATTTATTCCTCAACTTCTCAGATTTGGGGCAATGTATTTTCTAATATAAATATGCGACTTCTGGAGTAGTGACATCACCTAGTTGTTAGGTCTTCCTTTCTTTGTTTACTTTGACTACAACTGGGTTTTTGACCCGGATAGGGTGATCTGATATAATTTCAAAGTTCCATGGATTTTTAATTCCTTTATTCTCTAGGACAATTTAGGCTTATTGTTATGGTCCAGGTTAGGACCAAGGAAGAACAACACGAACACAAGAGTAGAAATAACGAAGGTATATTACACGAAATAATAATACAAGATGTGGAAGGTGTTAGTATCACTGTCAGTCTAGTTTGGAGTGAACTAGTATCGGCTCGACTCGATTCGGTATCTAGCCCCCCACCCCCGAGGGTTGCATGTGGCACAAGGCCGAGTTTAACGTGGATTTCCCGAGCCCGTAGGCTCGGCCAAAAAATGCCCGTAGAAACTGTAAAAACAGAATCGGGTTGGTCAACCTCCCCGAACGAGGCTCTACCCTTCGGCGGAGCCTCGTCCGGGTTCCTCTCCGCTCAGAGGCAGAGAGTTCGACCGTCAAGCCGAAACGGCTTGACTCGTTTTCTCTCTCTCTCTCTCTAGAGAGAGAGAGAGAGAGAGAGAGGTGTAGTATACATAATATCAGGAAGAGTTCATTCTGTAGTTATAGGTAAGGATCCATGACACTTATTCGTATATCACCGGTTTTGATGGTCAGTAATTTGCACCGTTCCTAGTGGATTGAATTTCCCGCTGAGTTATATTTATTTTGTCCCCTTTTAAATTTATTTTGCATTCATATATTGATTATATATATTTATATCAGCATTTTTCCACCAGGTATTTTGTGCTTATATTTGGAGATCTAATGAAAGCCCTCTCAAATCTCAAGCCCTTTTCCCCGCACACTCACCGACCTCATTATGGCAGTGGCTTGGAGAGCATCAATCTCTCTCTGAATTTCCAGTTTCTTAAATTATTTAGTTCTTTCTAAGGTCTCTCAGAGAGTTTCCAATGTCACATTTGTTACGGTAAGTCGTTCTCATTTGTTATATGAACAACACTAACTGTCCACTTTCGAAGCTTCTTTACCTCTCAGGCGACATCCTGTGTTTATATTTTTGATTACTTAATCTTTACTTCGCCGAGTTGGTCACATCTATAATGATTTTCTGAAATAAGCAAATTCAATCTTCTGTTTCGGCTAGAGTAGTCAGTCTGGATTCAAAACCATTCAGTATTTTTTTTATAATTTTCTTGGAAAGTCTCTGGTGTTGGATTCATGTCCTTTTCGTGGGCATTTGTGCGAAAGGGAACGCAACAGACTAGGCAAGAATTTGAACTCGTCTCGCCATTTTCACTTTCTACGTTGTTAACCGTTACGCTAAACGTACGTTCCTTTTCATTATTGCTTGTATTATTGATGATATTAATTATATATCGTCAGCTTTTCTCTTGCGTAAGAGAGTGAAGAGAATAGTAAACGAACAGTTTAGAAACATAGGATATTTTGGTAAAAATAAATAGACATGCGCAGGGACACTTACCAGGATTTTGTGTTATGTTGACCCAAAGATAAAAGTTTAAGATCAGACGACACAGTCTGCCCCACCTAAAATATAAGTAGAGAACGGAAAGAGAACAAGGTAGGACAATGTTATTGGAATGTTATCTAAAAGAGAATAAAGACTGCAAGTCAACGCCGGAATAGAACCACATTGAGAACATTGTTTCAAAGCGCTTTGATAAGAATTTCGATGTTTTTTATGCAATGTATGAATCTGATGGATATTGTTTTTTTTTTTTTACAGAATCTGTTTTCATTGTTAATTATATCCTTACTATTTGTCATAAAAATACTAGTCATGAGACTGAATATATAAACAGAGAAAATATCAGAAAAAGAATACTTTCTAAGAACAGAGATTTTCGATACCAGAGTGAACAGTAGAAATATACATTATTTACATTATTCGGACTATTGTCCTTGTCTTTGTCGCCATATTTATTACAACGTTTCGGCCGTTGTACGCTCCGGCCTTCTGCAGGTGGTTGAAATGTCGAACTGAACCCTTTATTTCGTTCACTGGGGTAGACTGTTCTAGTTCAACGTGCCAGGTTTAAAGGATGTCAGTTATCAGTTATCACCTGTTAATTTCCCTCTGAAAATTTTCCACTGCCTTAACCGGGTATTAAACTCACACTCTTTGGGTCCTGTCACTGGATCTAACTAATGCCTTTATCCATTTGTGTCATGTGTTCTTGAGGATATCTGTGTATGAATTTCTGGGTATTATAAACCTAATGTTTCAGCAACCATTTTTACCAGTTTTTTTTTTTTTGCTGTTATCATTGCATGTTTTTTACCAGAGCTCATATTGCAACTTTTGTTGTTGTTATTGCTTTTCTCTAGCATTCCTTATTACTGGTTCCCATACTGTATTTATTTCTATGCTTGGTCGGCTCAGGAGATTTTTGTGGCCTAGCATATGTGCTGATTCCTTAAGTAAATATAAATAAACGAATAAAC